AGCCACAGATGCCGCCTCTTTCCCCAAACCAAAATGCACGTGGATGAGGAGTCAGGTTGTGACCGGACGCCCCGAGGCTGGAGCCCCAAGCACCAAGCAGTCTCGTCTTGGACCTCCAGGCAGAAACTGAACTGGGGGGAGGGTGGCGCGTGCATGCAGAGAACGAGTCGGGAAGTCTGCTTGACATGGAGGTGTCAGGGTCAGGGGTCAGCCAGGGGAGGGGCCTCAGGGGCAGGAGGAGCTCCGTCGTGGGAGCCAACACCCCCAGATTCTGTCCTCTTGTACCCCGTGATCATATCCAGAGTCCGTCTAAACCAGGGCTATGGACATGTGGGGGTGGGCAACCCTGTAGCAGGGGCTGTCCTGAGCACGGCCTCTCCCCCTCCACGCCAGAAAGCCCCCTCAATGTCCCCTGGGGGGCAGGTCACCCCATTTGTAAACTCCTGGCCTAAATCTAATGAAGCAACTGTTTCTCTCTCTCTCTCTCTCTCTCTCTCTCTCTCACACACACACACACACGCACGCACGCTGTGGCTTTGTGGCTCCCCGCACTGTTCTGGAGAGTCAAGGGCAATGCGAGGGTTCTGATTGCTCCAGCAAAGCTCTTCCCCCAGCTGAGCCCCTGCAGCGTGTTTCTCTTGGGATGAACTTGATTTGACTGCAGAGACGACGGCTGGTGAGAGGTGGTCACACTGGGGAGAGTCTGTCACTGGGGGCACTGCATTCAACTCCTGTCCCCCATCAAGCCCGCCCTGCCACCTCTGCTTCCTGGCATCTCCCCTACACTGTCAGCAACACCCCAAACTCCACTTGGCTGAGTCGCCTCCCCCTGGCCCCAGACTTGCTGTCCCTCCCTCTGTCCCATCTCAGTGGGTGGCAACTCCATGCTTCCAGCTGCTGAGACCAAGAGCCTGGGACGCCCTCCTGGTGCTTTTCTCTCTCTTACGTCTCACATCCAACCAATCAGCAAATCCTGGTGGCTTCACGACAGATCCCAGGTAGGACAATGCCTGCTGGGCCGCACTCCTGGCCTAAGCCACAGGGCCCTGGCCAGGGACTTGTTGTCCTGCTGCCACCCTTGTCCTTCCTGCAGGCTGTCATCACACAGCCACCAGAGGCCCCAGTGAGACATGTGACCAGGTCACCCTCCCATCCTGGGCCCTTGTCTAATCTCCTGGAGGGAAAGGCTAGTTCCCCTTGCCTAACCCTCCCACTGCAGCCACACCTCCAGGCATACACCTGCCTCAGGGCCTTTGCACTGTCAGCACTGCTTGGGGAGTGTTGGTCCAGACACTCCCCCTTCCCCTCCCCCCCCAACTTTCTTAAACTGAGTACGCTATGACAGGCGTCATTCTCATTGAGGCTGACATCCCCACTCTACACCCACCCCCGTGTCTGATCCTCCCAGCTAACAAGCTGGGCCGTGGGCTTACTTGTGCTGGCTTACTTCCTCCCGATGGACTGTGTGCCCCGTGAGGACGGAGTCAGAGTCCCTGTGCCTGGAACAGGGCCTGGGATGGCACAGCCCCTCGGTAAATGTTTGCTGAATGAACGAATGGTCATTGAGTTTCCCCTCGTTTTGAATCTTCGCTTCTTTTGCTAACACAAAGGGGAGACTATTTGGAGAATGAATGGCGAAGGAGGTGTGGATGAGGGCTAAGTCTTTGAAAAGTCTTCACTATTCTGATCACAATTGTAAGAACACACGGAAGAGTAGCACAGAAAACCCTAAAATACAACCCAATAATTAGTCGATGTTGACTGAATTATCTGATGTTATGACTGAGCCTGTTTCCTAATTATTTTTTTCCTAAGGCAGTAGCATGAATACCAGCTAGAGGTGTGCACAGGGACGCGTGTGCACACATCGGCTTTCACGCATGCGACAAGGGGAATTGAGAAATGACTTAAACGTAATTCACAAGCTGGGAACTTCCACTGCCACGATGACTTCAAAGTTTCCTGCAGGAAATACGCGAGGTGTCGAGGACAGAGCGCCACGTGGGTCCAATCCTCTGAGAGCCACAGAAAACATACAAACAGCTCACTGAAGCTGGCCGGTCCTGAGCCATCCATCTGCGTGGGTCCTGAGCACTCGTCTCTTTGACTGCCAGCCCACCCCTTTCCTGTTGTGTGGCAGGTGGGCTACTGAGTGGGACTGGGCCCTCCCAACCTACCCACTGAGGGACAGGCACAGAAACACACTGGGCTTTGGAGCAAAGCTCAGACGTTTCCCGTGGTCGCGGGAGATTTCCTATCTCCTCCAGGCTGTGACGTTGACTTACTTGGTAGCCTTCTTGCTACCAAGAAAGAGGCCAGCTTGAGGATGAAGCCAACAGACAGAAGAGTGGAGAGCTGGGAGGATCAGACAAGCTGAGCCATGACCCTGTTGACTTGTGAGCCTCTGGATCAAACCCTGCCTGATGCCTGCCCCACTTCTGAGCTCCACGTGTCTCCAAGGCAGTAACTCCCATAAACAGGGATAAGCTGAGAGGTGTCTTTTTCTTGCAACAAAAGGCACCCCCCCCCCCGCCAGGGCCGGCGCTGTGGCACAGCAGGTTAACACCCTGGCATGAAGTGCCAGCATCCCATATGGGCGCCGATTCAAGTCCCGGCTGCTCCACTTCCCATCCAGCTCTCTGCTGTGGCTTGGGAAAGCAGTAGAAGATGGCCCAAGTGCTTGGGCCCCTGCACCCATGTGGGAGACCTGGAAGAAGCTCCTGGCTCCTTGTCACTCCCCCTCTTCGTGGAGGAGCGACACTGAACCCTGCCTAGGCTTCATATCCGAGTCACGGCACCATTATGTCGCTCCCCCTCTTCGTGGAGGAGCGACACTAAACCCTGCCTAGGCTTCATATCCGAGTCACGGCACCATTATGTCGCTCCCCCTCTTTGTGGAGGAGCGACACAGGACCCTGCGCTGTTCTTTTGTCTGCTCGGCCCTCCCCGGGTTTGCTGCTGGTTCTTCCTGGGTTGGCTACCGACCCTTCCACCTCCGTGGAAGGGCGGTTCCCCCTGCCACTTTTCCCACTTCCGCGGGGGAGCGGCACACCGCCGGCCGGCTCTCTCGGGGGCTGCTCAGGTGTTCCTTCAGATAGATGTTCCTGGTGCATGTTGTCTCTCTCCTCCTTTATAGTCCTCTTCCACCAATCCCAACTCTGCTACCCACACGCCGAGTACGCTGCTCTCCTCCAATCAGGAGCAGGATCAGCTCCTGCAGGTCATCACTCAAGTTGGTGAGAGGCAGCTGCATAGAAGTTGTTACTCCCTTCTCAGCGCCATATTGTGGGAGAGCAGATGCATAGAATAAGTTTTAATTCCAGTAACAGTCTAGTCCGAGTTGCTCCCCACAGCTCCTGGCTCCGGATCGGCGCAGCTCTGGCTGTTGAGGCCGTCTGGGAAGTGAACCAGTGGATGGAAGATCTCTCTCCCTCTCTCTGCCTCTCCTCTCTCTGTGTAACTCTGACTTTCAAATAAATAAATAAATCTTTAAAAAAAAAAAAAAGGCATTGCCGTACAGTCGCTATGATCTCTTCTAGGCCCTCCCCTCTGCTTCCCACTGGCCTGAACAGTCAGTATTCTGAGCATGCGTACATGGATAATTTAAACATGAATTGTTCTTGGTTTGCACATATCTGCTGTCCCATTTCTCCAGCATTAATGAAAATCAATGACTCTTAAGAAGCAGCGGAGGGGCTCCTCACACCTGCACCAAGCTTCCTGCATTGCATTTCTGAGTCTGCCTGCTGAGCCTGCTTTTTTAAACTTTAACTTTGTTTCTACTTAATCACTCCCCAAGTGTCAGCAACAGCTGGGGCTGGGCCAGGCTGAAGCCAGGAGCCAGGAACTCCATCTGGGTCTCTCTCATGGGTGCGGGAGACTACAGTGCTTGAACCCTCGCCTGCTGCCTCCCAGAGTGCGCATCAGCAAGAAGCTGGCTGGGAAGTGGAGGAGCTGGGACTTGAACCAGGCACTCTGATAGGAGATTCAGGTGTCCCAAGCCGAGCATACTTACAAAATTCCCACATGTGGGGCCGGTGTCGTGGCGTAGAAAGTAAAAGCTGCTGCCTGCGACACCAGCATCCCATGAGGGCGCTCGTCCTTGTCCCGGCTGCTCCACTTCCAGTCTGGTTCCTTGCTAATACGCCCGGGGGAAGCAGCAGAAGATGGCTCAAGTGCTTGGGCCCCTGCTGCTCATAAGATCAAGTTCCTGGCTCCTGGCTTTGGCCTGACCCAGCCCTGGCCATTGCAGCCATCTGGGGAGTGAACCAGAATATGAAAGACCTCTCTCTCCCTCCCTCCCTCTCTCAAATAAATAAATCGATAATTCTTTAAGAACAAATAAATAAAATGCCCACGTGACTCTCCCGAGAAGCCCAAAGCCGCAGTAGCTCCGCGGGGCCCTCTCTCAGGTCAGCTGAGACCAGGGGTGGAGCTGTCTGGGGGACAGCGAGCCGGGCCCGATGATGCGTGAAGAGACGCTCCAAGAGGCCTTTCCTTATTTATTAGATTTCAGATACAAGGGACCAGGGTGTAAGCCTCCTAGGGCGTAGGATTTACACGGGGTCATTGGGAGAACCCATACAGAGGCAGAAATCCATACATGGGCGGTGCTGCAAGGAGGGACTGCTACTTTAAAAAATATATACATCTGAAGACGCCATTCCAGCCATATTATCATTATTAGAAAATAAAACAATCTTTCCACATAGTGCTTTTCTTTGGTGCTGTTCCGTGGGCGTGGGCTCGTCGTGCTCCTTGTCACCCTCCCCTGCCGCATCTCCTGTCTGCACACAGGGAGGGGACCTGAGGCAGGGGGGAGGGACCCCACACAGGGTGGGTGCAGGCTGTGCTCTTGGGAGCCCCTCACTTGGTTCTTAGATCGCAGCCTGGGAAGTCGTGGGAGACACTAGCAAGTTCACACGTGACAGCGCCAGGCTGCAACCTTTGGAGAGGATGGGGCAAGGGGAGCAAACAAAACCCAGCCAGGACCACCTGCGTCATGGTTGGATTTCATGTTTTATTTCTCGGCTCAATTCAAAAGACCTGTAGCATGAGTACAACGGAGAAGGGCTGTTTCTTTACAGACTTTAGGACGTGAACTTGGGTTCCAGTGTTTGGGGGAGGAGCCAGGGCCTCTTAACTTCTCCTCACTTCGCTATCTCCCACGGAATGTCCCCTCCACTCCCCAGGGAGGCCCCACATCTGACCTAGCCTCCAAAGAAGCTGGACACTGAACCTCTCTCCTGAATGCCCACTAGCCCAGCAGGCGCATGCCAGGGGCGTTCCCACCGGACAGCATTCCCTGTGTTCCTGACACACTTCCAGCTGCAATTCCCAGTGTACAGGCCCGCTGCCCCTTCTGTAACCTCCGTGCACTTGCAGCACTGGAACCAGTGAGCACGGCTCTCTCCACGTGCCCAACATCCACCCACGCCAAACACAGTGCCAGCAATGTAAGGATGAGCCGCAGATACCAGCAGCACACAAGCCCCTGATGGCACTGTGGACGGTCTGGACACCTCATTTGACCAGAGTGACAGTGCAGAGAACAGGGGGCGCCCCTCTCTAACAGCTCCCCCAGCACACAACACCCCCACCCCCGTTCTATCCCCCAGGGAGTCAGACTCCTAAAGGTTATGCCTCAAGGTCTAACCACCAAGTTAGACCTGGTGTTTAGCCCAGGTTCCTTGGTACCCAGCAGGCACCTCTGCCCTAGATGTGTGCAGCTGCCCGGATGAGAATGGCAATGTTCCCTCATCAAGCGACTTAGACCGGGGATTCCCCGCAGGGCAAAGGCCGGCAGGGCGCACGTGGCACTGCCCTGTGAGAGCTGGCAGAGTCCTTGATGCTCTCCAAGCAGGGACCACATCAGAGAACGGCTCTGCAGAACCCGGGCTGCCGGTCTGCCAGGACCTCCGCAGGGCCCAGCCCGGCAGCTCAGCCGCAGGCTCCCGGGAGCGGAGGTGGGACCAGCAGGAGCTGCCTCTAGGGCAGCGCTGAGCCACGCCCTGGAGGTCTGGAGGTCTGGCCCTCAGCACTGAGGGCAAGGGGCGTTTCTCCTTCATAGCTCAAGCCCCTCATCCCCGGAGACCCCGCCCACAGAGCTTGGCCGTCCAGGAACACAGCCGAGTGTGCGGGGTTGACTTCCACAGCGGCACGGGAGCTTCCTGTGTTGAAAAGTGGGGATGTCTTATGCACACCAGGAGGGCAGGTGACCTCTGCAGCAGCCGGGGGGGGGGGGGGGCAAGCTCTAGGTGGCACAGGTGCCCCCGGCCTTGGGGAGGCAGGGAAGGGTGTCTGGTGCTGTCGCCCCGGAGCCAGGCAGGATGAGATGCTGGCGACCCCGTGGAGCCCCTTCTCCGCAGGGCTCCCTGCCCGTGTATCCGCAGCTGGGCTTTCTTCTCGTGCTTGTCCTGGCCTTGACCCTAGCAGGGCTGCCAACCTCGAGTCAGAGCCCCCAGGTGCCCCCACGATGGCAGCAGGCTCTGGAACTTCCCACAGACCCCCTGGCCTGGACCTGCTTTGATGGGGAGTGGGGGAGGGGAGGCAGAGAAAGGCTCTGGGGGTTGGGTGGGGACCCTGCTCCTCTCTGCACCGGCATGGCCCTGTCTGTGGGCCCAAAGCTGACTGAGCCCAGACGTCAGATAGGGAAGAAGCTGGGAGTCCTGGCGGAGGCGGGAGAGGGCAGGCAGGCGCTGGGGCAGAGGTGACAGGTGGGGGTGCCTGAGGGGCAAGTGCCTGGGAAACGAGGGAGTTCCAGCCGTTGCTCTCCCACGGGTGCACCCAGATGGAGGGCTGTGTGTGTGCCGGGCTGAGCGGGAGGATGGATGGAGGGCCCTCTGCACCATAGCAGGCGTGGGCTTCGGAGCAGGCAGGGCATGTGGGAGATGTTGCTGGGATGTCTCCTGGGAACCTACCCTGTGCCTCCAGGTGGCCCAGTAGGCGCTGAGCCCCGCCCACAGGTGGGGGGAGTGAGGAAAGGCACATGCTGCCTCTCGGTGGTTGGTGGGAGAGATGGGCGCTGTCCCCGCTGATCCCCGGGAGTCTGCCAAGGGGAGGTGGCCCTTGCCCAGGCCACAGCACCATCCATGGAGAAGGAAAAACATACCCAAGAACAAGCCGGTGACAGATGAGCCCCACGCCCCTGCCCTCCCATCCCGGTCCCCCCACCTCACTGCACCCCAGAGTCTGCGCACACGGCCGGGACGCAGGAGACCCCTTCCTTGGGACAGCTCAGAGTGGCGACACGGGGCTGACGGTGGAGGCTGGTGGCCGTGGAGGTCTCCGCGCTGGTCCGTCCGTGGGGCTGGCGGTGGGCGGGCATCGGTCCGTGTGCCGGGCCCTCAGACCTTGGCCTCCAGCATCTCCAGGAAGAGTTTGTGCATGGGCACCTTGCCCTGCACTTTCACGCTGTAGAAGTGCTGCACGGCCTTGGCGGCCGTCTGCCGCAGCAGGGGCAGCGTCAGCAGCAGCTTGCCGGTCCTCCGCGGCTCCTCGTGGCGCTGGCTCAGCTCGTAGTCCTGCAGCGCCTCGTGCAGCAGGTCCTGCAGCTTCTGCACGGCCTCCAGGTCCTCGATGTACATGGAGTCTGCAGACACAAGGGTGAGCATCAGCAGCCTGGCTGAGGGGATGGGGGGTGTCCTGGGGGCAGGGGCCGTCCTGGGATCCAGGAGGCTCAGAGAGGTTAAACCACTGGTCTGAAGTCACAGACGTGATGGCGGAACCAGGAAGCGACCCTCTCATTTCATGAGCACCAAGGTGACAGTGGAGACCCTAGCGGGCTCAAGCCTGGGCAGCCCTGCTGTGCGCTCCGGAGGTGCTGGGCGGACCCTGGAGCTGGACTGGCATCCCGCCGTCACCATCCCATGACTGCACTTCTGCCGCGGCTACCAGGCACCAACTCCTACCATCAGCAGTAACCACCAGCCCCCCAAAAGTCTGGCTGCAGAACACAGACAGAGGCACAGATAAAGGGGCTGAGCTGGTGGGGCACACAGGGCGTGGGGAAGGAGGCAGCAGCTGGGAGTTTGTTAAAGCCTTGGGGAGGGCTTTGACCTGAAGCCATGAGTTGGAGGCTCAAAGGAAATTCATGCAAGTCCCAGCAGGGCGGGAGGCACCTAGTGAGGGCTGGGGTACATCGGGGCTGAGCTGCAACGCAGGGAATCTCCTGGAACCCGTTCTCTGGGGAAATCCCCGGACTCTGACCTTCCCTCCTGACCCTGGAAGTGGAGCACCCAACGCTTGCCAAGGGAGAGGGGAGGGGGAGAGGCGTGCACGTGAATGGAGGGGGCTGCGAGCTCTGGGCAGGTTGACCAGGAAGTCCGGCAGAGCGCCTGAATTCCTCGGGAGAGCCAGGCCGCCCCTTTGCACGCTGGGCTGACCTAGAAACCATGATGCCAAGGGCAGCTGCACCAACTGGCTGAACCCAGGGCTGCCCTGACCCTCTGGGTCCACACAGCCTGTGCCTTCCAGGTCTTGTCTCTCTGTCTCTCTGCCTCTGTGTGTGTGTGTGTGTGTGTGTCTTTTGGGTGGGGAGCAGTAGAATGAGGTAGAGAAGATTTTCGACTATCAGATGCTGTGTGACTTTGATCAAGTTCTTGGCCTCTCTGAGATCATTTCCTCACCTGTAAAATGGAGCACAGTGTTCCCGTACTCCTCGGGTGGCGGTGAGCGTTCAGTGAGAGTGTACATCCCCCGGCCCTTGGTAAGCCCCTAATAAGCGTTAGCTCTCATTTTCATGGGCTGCAGGCACTACGGAGAAAAACCCAAATACCCTCCAGTTCTCTCTCCCTGGGACCAGGATGGTGGTGGTGGGGACTCCTACTCTGCCAGTGGGGGGAAGACGGGCTCCATCCTACACACTCAGCCACTGACAGGGCAGGCTCCCCAGATGCGGCTGCTCCCTGGGCCCCCAGACTCACGACTCCCACCTGCTCCCTCTTCTCCTGCCCTCCCCCCCAGGAGGCCCAAATTGGCAGCTGCCTTCGACCAAAAATGAAATAAAATAACATTGCAAGATTAATTTCTTTGCAATCCATCAGCAAGTCTGTATCGATGGCATTGATAAACTGTTAATTACAAAATCAATGGCTATGAATTTGTTGTGCTGTCAAGGAGCCTTGGAGAGGGCTGGATGTGGGGTGACCGCCGGCCAGCAGGCGCCCAGGAGCTGGTGGTCTGGGACCAGTGCTCCTCGGACATGTCTCCCTCTCCTGCCTGCCGCTGGCGCCCTCAGCCGTTAGACCCACAGCCGCGTTGCCCCACCCACAGCTGCAGCTGTGGCCCTCACCGTGGCCCAGGACACTGCCACCAGGCCCATCTCAATGGTGTCCTGGCCCTGGCTCTGTCTCTCCCACAGCCCAGTGGTTCTCCTACCCTGAGGCTGGGGACAGGTCACTCTCCCACGATCTTTCCTGGTCTCCTAAACTGACCCCATTACCACTGAATTCTTTTACAGCCCCAGAGCTGCTGTTTGCTGACCCCAAACAGGCCTTACTCTCCCCCTCTCATTCCACTGAGCCCTCCCTGGCATTAAGATCCAGCGCTGAGTCTGTCTCCCAGCTGGATACAATTCATTTCCTGAGGCCGGCATGGCGGCACACAAGCACGAGCGCCGGTTCCAGTCCCAGCTGCTCCACCTCTGATCTAGGTCCCTGCTGATGCGCCTGAGAAAGCAGCAGAAGATGGCCAAGTCCTTGGGGCCCTGCACCCACGTGGGAGACTCAGATGGAATTCCAGGCTCCTGGTTTCAGCCTGGCCCAGCCCTGGCTGTTGTGGTCATTTGGAGTGAACCAGCAGATGGAAGACCTCTCTCTCTGTCTTCCCCATTCTTTGTTGCTCTGCCTTTCAAATAAATAAATGTTTTTTAAATATTGGCTCTTCTTCCTGGAGCCCTTTGCGAGGGGTTTCTTTGTGTGTGATCACACACAGAACTGTCTCCCATTCTGTCCATGTTCTGGTCACATTCAGCGTATTAACTCCCCTGGGGGGCAGTTCTCCAATGAGCTCCTCTTCCACAGGCTGTCCAGCACTGGGCCTGGCAGAGCTGAGTCAAAACACACCAGTGAGGATGACTCTGGGCGGGCCCCGTGCCCGGTGCTGGGGCATTGCTGCACCTTGCCCTGAACAATGAGCCATCACTCTCCCTATTTGGCAACGAGGAAACTGAGGTTTAGAAAGTTTTGGGGGGCTGGTGCTGTGGCGTAGCAGGTAAAGCCTCTGCCTGCGGTGCTGGCATCCCTTATGGTCACTGGTTCTAGTCCCGGCTGCTCCTCTTCCAATCCAGCTCTCTGCTATGGCCTGGGAAAGCAGTAGAAGACGGCTCAAGTGTTTAGGTCCCTGCACCCACGTGGGAGACCCGGATGGAGCTGTGGTTTGCACATCTGGGTTTTTATTACATTTTTCTAACACTTCACGTTTGCCATATTTTACAAGATAATCAGTCCACAAGGCTGGAACACTGTTTAAAAACTGGAGCTACACCCCGGGTCCTTTGAAAAAATAGTGCTTTAAACCATTACTTTAACAGTTAAAAAGGGGGCTGGCCACTTAGCAGGTGCAGACCCTGCCCCCAAACCTTCAGTGCCAGGAAGGGAGCACCCCCCAGGGGCCCACCAAGAGCCCTGAGCAATGTGTGGCCTCCCTGGGGTGGGGGGCGGAGAGCAGCCAGGGCCTTGAGCCTCACACACACCCCCTTCACCTAAGCTTCCCGCACCTGTGCCGCGGCTGCAGGCCAGCCTCTATTTAATAGATACTTATTTATTTGAGAGGCAGAGAGACACAAAGAGATGGACAGACAGGAAGTTCTCCCACCCATGGGTTTATTCAACAGCCAAGGCTGAGCCAGATCAAAGTCAGAGCCAGGAACTCAATCCGGGTCTCTCATGTGGGTGGCAGAGACACAGGACTTGGGTTATCATGCGCTGCCTCCCAGGATGCGCATTAGCAGGAAACGGGAATCAGCAGCAGAGCTGGGACGTGAAGTCAGGCACCCTGATACAGGATGGATATGGGATGGATATGGGATGTTTCAACCGCTCTCCAAACACCTGCCTCCGCACGGCCCTCCCCAGATGCCCCTAGGGAAGAAGTCCGGGTTCCTAGAACCTCATCTGGGTGGCAAAGCGTGTCCTTGGGCAAAGCTTGATGCTACCAGCAGCCCTGACGGGTTCGTGTCACCTGACATTGCGGGTCTTCAGGCCGAGCAGGAGTGAGGACACTCGTGGAAAAGTGGAATTAAACGGTCAATTAATTTAAGCAAAAAAGCTTCAAAATCCATGCCTAAAAGGTGTTCTACAAGTTCATAGAAAACGTGTACTATGGAAGAATTGTGCATTGATCTTAATTTTGTTTGTCCACTAAAATGAAGTTGTCTTTGAACTCCATTTTCCCATGAACATTTTGAGGTCCCACGTATGTGTGCATGCACGCACACGCATGTGTGCACACGACTATGTGCTTCTGTGTGTGTGTGTGTAAGGTGTGAGACAGCAAGGAAAGAATGGCCGAGAGCTGCTGTAGTCTGGTGTTGGAGGCTGAGGGTGGAGCAGACAGGTGGGCAGCCTCCCACCCCTCACCTGCTTCTCCCAACGTGGGCAAGCGTGAGCTCCACTGGAGTCCAAAGCCGACGCCTGGCCCTCCGAGGCCTGGGCACATCGCCCACTCGCCCACTCTGCTTTCTCCTTTGCGGCCTTCCACTGACTCTTTAAGACCAGATCTTCCGTAACAAAAACCTTCCAGCACTCTCACGTCATCCCTACTCACTGCAACGGGCCCCGCCCGCAGGCCCACGGACCTGCCCCAGCCCTCCCCCCGCCAGCTGCACCCCTGCACCTGACCTACCTGAGTTGGCGAGGGCCAGGGCCTTGAGTGTCACGAACTCCTCCTTCTCCACCTTGAGTTTCTTGTACCTGCGCACCAGCTGCAGGATGGCCCGGTAGAGCTCCAGCAGCCCGGCCAGGCGGGAGTGCTCCTCGTCCATGATGTAGTCCTCGGCGTACACCAACTTGTCGTCGTAGGGCAGCGAGCGGTACACGATGCCCAGGATGAGGATCTCCATCCACGCACTCTGCAGCAGGCTCATCTGGTCCCCCAGTGAGAGGTTCGAGAAACCTGCCGGACGAGGGCGCAAGGCGGGCAGCGCCTGGTCAGGAGGGTGGACCTGGTGCTCCCTGGAGGGGACAGCCCGGACGGGGCTGACTCCGCCCCCTGGGGCACCTCTGGATCTTTCCCCCGGGTGGGGTGGGCCTGTCGCCCTGTGTGGCTCCCCTTGGCACGTGAGTCAGACTTGGAATTCGTGGAAAAGACTTAGCTCAGTCAATGCACTGTTATCCTACCTCCTAGGGTATTTTCCAGAAGTCTGGGGAAGCTTCCTGATGAAGGGGATGCACTTGGGATCCAAGGAGTTACTGGGTTCCTAGCAGGGTCAGGAGTGGCAGGAAGGGGGCTCTCCCACTCTGGGGAGTTTCTGGGTCCCTCTCTCTGGGAGAGAGACCCAGGGGAGCTTTTCAAAATGACACCTGAGCCCCAGGCGGAGTCTCAGCTGAGACCAGGAAGCTCCACAAGGAACCAGGGCGGAAGTTGCCAATGGCCGTGGCCTGGGGCTGTGAGTGGCCACTGTCCAGGGTCAGGGGGTTAACTTTCTCACAGGGCAGTGGTCAGAGCCCCTCTGCCCAGGCCACCACTCTGCAGCAACACTGACCCAGCAGTCCTGAGGACAGGAGCTTGGGATCACAGAGCTTCCCTCCCTGCTGGTCCCCTGGACCAGCATGCTCTAGAGGGTGCCTGGGCTTGACCACATGAAAGCCACGCCCTATCTCCAGACCTCCGCTTCCTCGGCTATGAAATGGGCGTAACAGCAGTGCCTCCTCGGGACCAAATGTTTACTGAGCTGTTCTCCCTGAGGAGAGGAAAGCCCTCCCTGGAAATGAGGGTACTAAACTGGAATCGCACTACATCTGCACTTCGAGGGGCCAGGCCAATTAACATCTTGATTTACGAGAGGTGGGAGGGGAGAGAGAGAACAAATAAGGGCACTGATTTTCACACCTTAGCCACTACGCACAAGGCAGTAACTTCCCTGGGGCCAGCACAGCACCTTAGTGATGTGATCCCACCCTGACCACGGAAGCTGAGAACAGTAGCCACGAAGCCACGGGGTGGCATGGCGCTCCACAGGCAGCTGGAAGGGAGGGGGCTCACAGGGGCCGTCCTGCCTGCCAAGGGCATTTTACTTCCTTTGCTGACTTAGCACGGCCTGCCTGGGCTGGGCTTTCTGATGTGGGGGTGCAATGAGGACGAAAGGAGCAGAGGCAGGGAGGCCAGGGCCCGCTCCCAGCACACAGTGCTCACTGGCGGCTGCTCCCTTTGTTGCTGTCGCTGTTGGCATGCAGTGGGCACTGCCCCTTCTCTGTGGTCTTCCCGGGGCCTGGGGTGGTCTCGGGTGGTCTCCTTACTCTCATCTGCTGCCCTCTGTCCCTCCCTCTGCCCCCATTCCCGGGACTGACAGCCCTGCCTAACATGAGGCAGGCTGCCCTTTGCCCCAGGAGTTTTCTCTGAGTCCAACCGTCAGGATGCCAGGGCCTGACCTCCCTGGCTGCTGGAATCCATGGGTGATCAGCAAGAGAGCAGGGACAATTACCCTGCCCTGCCCCGGGGTGAGCTGTGATGGATGCGCCTTCGCAGGGGAGAGGCTGGGACACAGAGGGGTCAGCTGGGTGTGCACTGTTGTCCAGACGCGCGGCCTGGGAGAGGGTGTGTGGCTGCCTGTGGGGGCCGGGGAAGCTGGCGGTAATAAAAGACAGATAGAAATGGACATCCAATTTCCCTTATCAGGTCTCTGAGTGGGAGAGAGGCCCTGGGCGACGTTAATTAACAGATACCATCAGCAGCACAGGAGGGGGTGTGTGCCTGTGCGTGTCTGTGTGTGTGTAAGGAAGTGTGGGGCTGCACGGGGAGCCGAAGGCAGACAGACTGGGAGGGCAGACGGAGGAGGAGGGCAGGGGCGAAATTAATAGACCACTGGATTGGCAGGCAGCAGAGAGGGAGGGTACGGCGAGCGCTAGGCTTCTGGGAACGCAGGAGGAAGGGCCCCGTGAGGCTAATTGCACAGGTGGGAGCCTTCTAAGAATGCTACCAGCATGCGTCTCCCTCCTGGTCATTCAGCAGACACTCACGTGTTTACTCATTTTATTTGAGAGGTATAGAGACAGACAGATGTGCACACACATACACACACACACAGGAATCTTCCCTCCATTGGTTCACTCCCCAGTGAACCAATGTAATTGTAATGGCCAGGGCTGGGTCAGGCTGAATCCAGGAGCTGCGAACTCCACCCAGGTCTCCATGTGGGTGGCAGGGGCTGTAGTGCTTGAGCCATGACCTGCTGCCTCCCAGGATGCTCGTTAGTAGGAAACCAGAATCAGAAGCGGAGCTGGGACTTGAACTAGGCACTCTGATATGCACATGGGTGTCCCAAGCAGTGCCTTAACTGCTGTGCCAAGTGCCTACCCCTCAGCAAATGTTTAATGAGCATCTACGAAGTGCCAGGCACGTGCTGGGCACTGGGGCAGAATGGTGCGCTCAAAGCAGACCAGTTCCCCGCCTTCGAGAGCTTGCGGTGAGGAGGCACAGACACACACCGCGTGTCACGGTCAGCACCAGGTTACGACCGTAGCAGGGAAATGAACGCGACGCAGATGGAAGTCGGGGGAGGCTTTGCACGGGGGAGAGCTGGGGACTGAACTCCACAGGGGGCGGCGAAGGTGCACCTGATGAACAGCTGCCAGGCCCTGCTCTGAGCCTCCAGGGAGCCCAGCCACGAGGCTCTGAGCACAAGAGTCAAGCAAAGAAGGGCCCACGCACAGCTGGAGCACGGAGGAGAGAAGGGACAAAGGCCATGGGCCTGGCCTCCCAGCTGACACAAACGTGTGCCCAACACACTTGGCTAGAGACGCTCAGCTCTTTGGACTGCGGTGTACGTCTGGCTGCCGTCGCCTGCGGCGTGAGAGTCAGGGACAGGCCTGCCCTAGGGTGGTGGCGGGTGACTTGGAAGTTGTGTGTCATCATCAGAGGCTGACCCTGGGGGACCTCCGACCAGGCTGGCTGAGTGTGCCTCAGCCCCTGATTTCTTTCTTCCTCCTTGACACCTTCAAAAGGTCCTACAAACACATGGCCTGCAAAATCCGAACAGAGGGCCAGTGTCGTGCCACAGCAGGATAAGCCACAGCCTGTGGTGCCAGCAGCCTGTATTGGTCACTGCTTTGAGTCCTGGCTGCTCACTCCCCCTCCAGCCCCCTGCTAATGCACCTGGGAAAGAAGCAGAGGATGGCCCGAGTGCTCGGGCCCCTGCACCCATGAGGGAGACCAGGCTGGAGCTGCAGGATCCCGGCTTCGACCTGGCGCAGTCCCAGCCGTTGCAGGCATTTGGGGAGTGAACCAGCACATGGAGGATCTCTCTCTGTCGCTCTACCTTTAAAATGAAATAAAATAGCTTAAAAAATTCAAATGAACTCTCCAAAGTACTGAACCATGTATATAGGAAGGTTCTTTCAAAAGTTCGTGGGAACAACCATGCATGCATTTCAAGTTATTTTACACCAAAATAAACAGATCGCTTCATTCCCTTTTCCCTGCAAAGTTTTTGACATGCCTTTATGGCGGCTGCTTCATTTTGATTAAGGAAGGGGAGCAGATGTGTTTGCCTCTAATATTTAAAATAGTCAAATTGCTACGATTTGACAAAAGACACACTGGAAGGGACAATGAGAGACAAAAATGGTAGGAGGTGGGAAGACTTCTGTGATTGTATTTTTGTCCAGTTCCCACAACGAAATAAACTTTTAAATTTATTTTTCCACCAACTTTGTGAAGTACGCTTGTGTTATACTAGGTACATTTAGGTCGTTTGTGCTTTGTATCATTTCAAATAGTGATCTACCAAACACCCATTCACATCTTGTGTATTTGTGCACATCTTTCTAAAGGCAGATTCCTAGCTAGCAAAAGAATCACTGGTTCACTCTCCAAATGGCCACAGTGGCTGGGACTGGCCCGGGCTGAAGTCAGAAGTCTGAAACTCCATCTGGGTCTTCCATGTGGGTAGCAGGGGCCCAAGCACTTGGACCATCATCTACTGCTTTCCCAGCCTCATTAGCAGGGAGCCGGATCAGAAGCAGGGCACCAGCACTCAAATGTGTGCTCCAGTGTGGGATGCCTGCATCACCAGTGACGGCGTAACCCACTGCACCACGGTGCAGCCCCTAACTCCCCTTTTCATTCCACTTCCCACAAACTTTTGGAAGCAGCTCCCGTACATGCAATTGTTATATAAATGCATTTTTTAGTTAAACGAATGGCATATTAGAGGCAACTGCTCGTGTGGCTGTGGAAGGGCAGAGAGCGTGTGTGGAGCACATGGTCAGAACCCTCTGCTCCTCGCCAGCAGTCACCCTGGGCAAGTCCACTTCTCTGTGCCTCATCTGTAAAATGCACAATATGAGCACCTATCTCGTGGGATGTTTGGACTAAATGAACTACTACGTGGAACACCTAGAACACGGCCTAGCATGCGGTGGGTGCCACATTTTACAGAATTAAATGAAAGGGACCGGTGCTGTGGTGTAGCGGGTAAAGCCGCCACCTGCGGTGCCGGCATCCCATATGGGCACTGGTTCCAGTCCCGGCTGCTCCGCTTCCGATCCAGCTCTCCGCTGTGGTTTGGGAAAACAGTAGAAGATGGCCCAGGTGCTTGGGCCCCTGCACCTGCGTGGGAGACCCGGAGGAAGCTCCTGGCTTCAGATGGGCACAGCTCCAGCTGTTGCGGCCATCTGGGGAGTGAACCATCGGATGGAAGACCCCCCCCGCCCCCCGCGCCTCTCCTTCTCTCTCTGTGTAACTCTGACTTTCAAGTAACTAAATAAATCTTTTAAAAAAAAAAGAATTAAGTGAAAAAGGCAGATGTGAGAGGGGAACCCACAGTTGCGGTGAGGGGGGCGAGAACAGCCCCACCCTCCCCGTATGCCCACCCACCGGGACCGCACATGCACCGGACATTTCCAGAAGGAAGCTGGCACGGAGGCATTGGAACTCATCATGTCCACCTGTCTGTCACAGCTGACATCTTTACCAAAAACACACCTTCTTTTATCAAAAACTCCAGGGCGCAGGCCCCTGGAGGAAGGCTGCGGCTGGGAGAGGCTGGGTGTAACCTCCCGGGAGGGCAGGGCTGTCCCCCTGACTGGCTGGCCGCAGGCTGCCCACCCTGCACTCTGCTGCCCCAGGCAAATGGCTTTATCTGCACCAGCTGATCTAATCACACTGCGCTCTTCCCATCCCCCAGTGGTCTGGCACCACAAGCTCCTGGAATTTCAAAAAGAGAGAGAGAGCACGTAATTTGTGGCAAGTGGAGTCCATAATCTGTTAATTTATGATCGTTTCTGTCGCCCTCCGGGCCATTAGCAGAGGTAATAAAGGGAGATGCAATTATAGGATCTGGGGCCACTTCAGACGCAGCTGCTGTCACTCGGCAGCTCATATTTCATCAAGCCAGCCGGTGGCTACCTGGGAATAGGGCCACCAGGGGACCCTGCACATCAGCCTGGGTGGGGCAGGGGCGGCGGTGATGCCCCACGAAGGCTGTCCTGGCCAGGGCGGACTCCAGGCCACCAGAGAAGAGCAGCTAAGGACTGGCAGAAGCTGCAGTCCATCGAGTGCCACCCGCGGCCACACAAGGCTGCCGGCCCCACGCTCATCTCTTGCTGGTGGGGAGTGAGAAGTAGACTTGCTAAAGTTGCCCTGTGGCCAGCCCTGTGCCTGGGAGATTCAACTCAAAGTAAAAACCCCACTGCCAGGAACACCCACTGCTACTCTGGGGGAGTCACCACCGGCCCTGGGTTTTCCCTATGGAGCTCATCCCTTTGTATCCAAATGGGGTCCCGGGGACAGAAATATACCTGGGTCAGCCTCTCTGTACCTGTGGTTTTGCTTTCTCTGCTTTCAGTTGCCTACAATCAATCAAAAGCCAAAAATACTAAATGGAAAATTCCAGAAATAAACAATTCATCCATTTTCAGTTTCTCACCATTCTGAGTCTTGTGATGAAATTCGCCCCATCACTCTCCAGCCCACCCTTGCTGCGAAGTAGCTCTTGGTCCAGTGTACCCAGGCTGTCTGTGCTGCCTTCCCATTACTGATCTGCGCCGGTCTCCACTCTCAGCTCCTGGTGTCACAGGGCTTGTGTTCAAGCAGCCTTTCCTGTGTTTTATAACGAGTCCACGTGCAACAGGAGTGATGCCAAGGTGACACAAGGACACAGCACGTGGAAGGACAGAGGGATTCTCCTGCCACATGGCGGCACCACAGGGCACGGGGGGAAAACTCATAGCTATGGGGTTGGGTGCTACCTAGGGGTTCAGCCAATCACTGGGGGCCTTGGACAAGGGGCAGGGGAATGGGTAACTATAATTCCTTCTCTCAACCACATCTCCTAGTGAGAGATCTTACATGCAGTAAATGCTCACTGCATGCTTGCAAAGGCACGAAAGACGAGCCCTTGGTGCGCCAGGCTGCAGGACACCGACACCGGAGCCGTGGTCCCCTGTGTGTGAGGACAGCAGCCCGGGCCCCTCTGCACTGCACTGCTCCTGGGTCATCTGAAGCAGCCAGCCCTCCTTTCTGTCTGAGAACTGGATCGGACGAGGCTGACACAGGTCCTGGGGTGGCTCCAGTTTGCTTTCTCTCTGCTCAACCTGTTCACTCTCTCTCTCTCTCAGAGCTGGCGAGCAGGCCTACAGATGACTCTCCCATCTGACTTGAGATGGGATTAGGCTGATTAACTTAGAAACATAAGGTACTTGATGTGTCACTGCCCTTAAGATAAGGTTTGGGGGCAGGTGTTTGGCCTAGTGGCTATGATGCTGGTGAAGACAGCCACACCCCCTATCAGAGTCCCTGGGTGCAACTCCTGCTCTGCCTCCTGACTCCAGCTTCCTGGAGTCAGGCTCTGGGAGGTATGGTGAAGGCTCAAGTAATTGGGTCCCTGCCACCTACATGCAAGACCAGGAGTGAGATCCCAGTTCCTGCCTTCAGCATGGCTCAGCCCTAGCCATTGCAGGCATTTGGGGAATAAACCAACAGATGAGCATGCTCTCTGTTTCTCAGATGGATGGGGTCTCCAGTTCCTACTCCCTTGGAGGTGTCTCGAGGTGGGGCTGTGGAGGAAGCAGTGACCCAGGGGCCCGCCAGGTGCCTCTCCTGAGCCATCACTGGGCTGCAGTAGCTGTTCAACCTGGGACAGGAGCGTAGGGCGGGGCAGAGGCGGCACAGGGGCAGCTGTACCCAATTTGGCCCTGGGTTAGTGGAGCAATCCAGGCTGAGGTGTCTTAAGCAGGGCCCTGACCTCATAGGTGTGCTGAGCCAGCGCTGGGCAGATTCAAAAACTACTGAGTGTATAATCCCCGCGGGGCTGAGCTCCTTAGTGAGGGTGCACCAGCCCACCCTGAGTCAGAGCACCCAGGGGCCACCAGGGAGTCCCCTGTGCTTCCTGCCAGTGAGGTGACAGCCAGCAGCACCTCTGTGGGCTGTTCATAAACAGCTCACACAGGGGACTTTGGGATTCATTTCGATCGCAGGTGGGCCTCGGCGTCTGCAGTCCAGGGCACCTCTGCTGTGTCGTCAGGTGCCCTGCGCTCAGCTCTCAGGGCTGGGCCAAACAAGAGCAGGATGTACGGACAGGAAGATAAACTGTCCCACGTCACAGGGCTCGAATTAGAGCGCACGGAAGGGCAGTCGCAGGTTCACAGGGCACAGATGAAAGCTGAAAGGGAAAAGGAGGCCAGCCCTTGGCCCCCGCCAGCACAAGAACAGCCACAAAGGGAGAGCGGCTCATTTCCCCACCTTTTACTTTTATTTGTGACACCATGCAGTAATGCTGTTTCTATTAATTACAGCACTGTATCTGTTCTGTGTCTCCATTAACTGAAGCACTATATCTACTAGTTGTAATGCCACATCTATTTGTATCTATTCATTGTAGTGCTGTGTCTATTAATTAGCACTGTATCTGTTATGCATCTATTAATTGTAACAGTATTAATTGGAAAGCAGATCTACATCTATTAATTGTAACACTGTGTCTATTGGTTGTAATGCTGTATCTATTAATTATGGTGCTGGTATCTGTTATGTCTCCATTAACTGTAACACTGCATCTATTAATTATAATGCTATATCTATTTGTACCTATTAAATCTAATATGGTGGGGCTGATGCTGTGGCACAGTGGGTTAACGCCCTGGCCTGAAGCACCGGCATCCCATATGGACGCCGGTTCAAGACTCAGCTGCTCCATTTCCAATCCAGCTCTCAGCTATGGCCTGGGAAAGCAGTGGAAGATGGTTCAAGTCCTTGGGCCCCTGCACCCGCGTGGGAGACCTGGAAGAAGCTCCTGGCTTCAGATTGAAGCAGCTCCAACCGTTGCAACCAATTGGGGAGTGAACCAGCAGATGGAAGACCTCTCTCTCTGTCTCTCCTCTCTCTGTGTAACTCTGACTTTCAAATAAATAAATAAATCTTTTAAAAAATGTAATATGGTAACTATTGGCTGTAACGTTGTATCTATTAATTATAATGCTGTATCTATTATGTATCTATTAATTGTAACACTGTGTCTATTCTTATTAGGTATACTCTAATTTGTTTTCCAATTGACCTCAGTTTTAATATTTGTATTATTTCTAAATTATTAGTAGAAAAAAAGATGAGGAAGGAGACAGGAAGTTTCTCTCCCATAGTAGGAGCTACATGGCGGGCGCATTAACAGAGCCTGGGAAGTTGCACAGAGAGTGGCCTCCACCACACATGTGATGGAGAAGAGACGGGCAGCAGGAGCTACAAACATAAACTGTCAGAATCAGCTCTCACCACTCCTCACCATTGCTCACCATCAGCCCAAGAGAGAAGCTGAAAATGGAGTTGGGGTCTGCAATGCAGCGAAGAAAGGCCCACATGGCCCAGCAGGTGGTGCCTACTTCCAGCCCCAAAGTGCCCGTAACAAATCAAGGATCCAACGAAGCAGACAGGCCTCCCTCAGAGATCAAGCAGGAGGCCCCATGCTCGATGCTTGTCACGTGGGGTCTATTTTGTCCTCACATCACCCTGAAGGAGCTCTGCTCTGGGTCAGCGGACCCAGACTTTGAATCTGATTCCCAAGGTCACGCTCCTCACTCCGCCCTCCTCAGTGTTTCCCGGCAGAATTCCAGTAAAGTCCACAAGTGAGCCCCATCACTCTTTGAATATGACCAATTGTAGTCCAGGCACAGCCTCTTCCAGAATAAGGGTTCTGAAGTTCATCAACACTACTGGACTCTCTCAAGAGCTGCTCCCCTCCAATCCCTCAAGGAGAGAGAGGGAGGCCAAAGGGAAACAAGCCTGCCAAGGTTTGCCAGCCCCTGAGGGCCAGACTCCAAGTATCGGAACCCCAGCCCCCGGAGCAGGTATGGGGAGCCCGGCTGCAAGCCACTGGCCTCCCCGCCCCCGACCCCACCGGACTCACCTGGGATGTGCTTGGCCCAGCCGATGATGACCACGAGCTCTCGGTCTGCCAGGTCACAGAGAGTGGTCAGGGCCTTGATGTCCCCCTCGGGCATGCCAGGAGGAGGCATGGCGTACAGCTTGTCTGGCTCGGCCACCAAGAGGTATGAGACGATCTTGGTCACTGTAAGGACCAAAGAGGGAAAGCTAAATGCCTGGGAAGAGAGGACCAGCGCCAGGGAGGGGCCTAGGCTGGGGCAGGTCAATGTGGCTGCCACCCCCCTCCCGTTCTGACTCCACCAAGTGCTGGCAGCCATGACTGGGCCTACGGAGAAACCCCCTCCAACACCCCCCACCCCGGAAGTTGTCTGATGAATTCTGCCGAGAGGAACCTGGCTGTGTGCAGGGGGCGTTGCTGGATGCTGGGGCCCATGGCTTCTGGGACTTTGGAAATGAAGGCTCTGACACCAGCGCCACCCAGACGATCCCTCCCCAAGTCGTGGCATGTCCTCAATAGACGCCAGATGTTCCACTGGTGCCGGAGAGAGGCGCAGGCACTGCCTGGGACTCACATGGCTTTTTAGCAGGTGGGGAAATCTGTAAGCTCAGGTACGGGCTGCTCTCAGAGTCCAGCCGCCGCTTGTACTTCTGGCGGCCTCCACGCACCCGGTCAAGGCGCACACCTGTTGGGGAGCAACAGGAGAAGGTCTCAGGAGTTGTGCAATATCACCAGGGGGGTAGCCCCACCTTGGAGGCATCTCAGCTCCTGCTAAGTCCTTCAAGGTCATGACCACGTAGCTGCACAATTATCCTAAAAGACTGGTCCGTCAGTCCTGGCCCATCCCGCCTGCCCCAGGGCTGCCGCTGCCACTCTGGATTTAGCATCCCCCTGAGATCCATCCTCAGCCATCGTCAGCCCTCGGAAGGAAAACACACAATCCCTGTACCTCTCTCTCTCTCTCTCTCTCTCTCTCTCTCTGTCTTTTAAATACATAAAATAAATATTTTTTAAAGACCAACAGAGAGCTCCTATCCACTGACTAGTCCACTCTCCAGATACCTGCGAGGACCAGGATTGGGCCAAGGCCCAAATTGGGAGCTGGGAACTCCAGCCTGGAACCCAGCCACCGATGCCATCCCTGCTCCCTCCCAGGTAGCACTGGCAGGAACCTGGAGTCAGGAGCCGGAGCTGGGACTCGAACCCAGGTGCCATTCACGGCAGCAGTAAATATGTGGGAGTGGGGTAGAGGTCTCCTCCACGTCCTACCCCGCCTCCTACTGAAAGGCAATGTGCCCAGTGCGGTCATCTTGCTGGAGGCCCCGCCCGCACTGGAGACCTGCAGGGTGCAGGTTCTCCTTCTCCTTGACCTCTGCAGGTCAGAGAACGGCCCCTGGTCAGGCGGCAAGTCGCCTGCAGGACTGTCCTGGCTGCTGCATTGCCTACTCCCGGCTCTCCTCGTTCCTGCCTGGTTTCTATGTGGGGTCCTCGAGCCCCCAGATGGGCCTCCAGTAGACTTCCCAGGTGCCCAGAGGGCAGCACTGGTGGTAACGACGGTGGCTGTGGCTGGCTGCCGCAGGAGCGGAATCTCCAGCAGGCAGGTTCGGAGGAAGGAGGGAGCCCAGTGACAGGTGTGCTCCTGAGTGGGTCCCACCGTGGGCAGCGTTGGCAGCCGGGGCTCAGCTCACCGGTGGCCCTGGGGACGGTGCAGATCACATCTCGGTGACCCACCCGTCACCAGCTAACGGCTGCTTTGCTCCTTCCTGCCTGCCTGTGGGCTCCAGCCCTGTGGCAGAGGTGTGGTCACAAGGCTCAGATGCACACGCATGGGGCAGAGAGCACTGAGCAGATGTGGCAGGGCCAGTCCGAGCCTCCTTTCTTCCCAAAGTGCAGGCCACAGGCCAGCAGGGATCCCAAGGAGAGCGAAGATCCCAGGCCTGGCCCCAGAGAGGCCAGAACCAGCATCCTTTTGTTTTTTCCTTTCTGAGCATATCTAAGCATATAGAGTTATTTGAGAGAGACTGCTCCCACCCAGTGGCTCACTCCTCAGATGTACACAACAGCCGGGGCTATGCCAGCTTAAGCTGGGAGCCAGGAATTCAACCTGGGTCTCCCACCTGCGTGCCAGGACCCAGTTGCTTGAGCCATCATCACTGCTGGCTCCCAGGCACATCAGCAGGAAGCTGGGGTCAGGAGCAAGAGGCGGAGATCACTCCCGGACACTCTCACACGGGACGCAGGCATCTTAACCACAGGCTGTCCATCCAGGAAGCAGCATCTGAACAAGGTCATTGGCATGCACAGAGCTCGCGGACCACGGCACTGCGGCATCCTGGTAAAGGCAGCAGCGTGTGAGCGCCTGCCAGGACCTTGCACCCTAAAGGGCAGCCGACCCCACGGAGCAGGGACCTGAGCCATGTGCTGGGAGGACGGCAGTGCACATCTGCCCCTCAGTCCTCCAAGCCCCTCGGGTGAGGGCGGGAGGAGCAGGGCGGGGGAGGATGCCCCCCCCCAGAGGTGTCTGGAAGATGCTTCCTGGTGACGAGGCATTGGACCCCAGCCAGTACCACACTTCCAAAGAGGCCGCTGCCTGCCACACCCTCCGCCAGGCCCCGCTTCACCACAGAGCACTGACAAACCTGAGACTTCATCTGCAGGAGGCAGCGAGGGCCCCACCCACTGAGTGCCTGCCGAGTGCCAGGGTCTTCCGGGGACAGTGGGTGTTTCCTACCTGTGGGGTCTGCATCCACACAGCTGACCACTTGTGGATGCAAAATATCCCCCAACATGTGTCGGGGACTGGACACCTACACTCTTCTTTTTAAAGAACGATCCATTCATTTATGCATTGATTTGAAAGGCAGAGTCACACACACACACACACACACACACACACACACACACAGATTTTCCATCTGCTGGTTCACTTTCCAAATGGCTGCAACAGCCAGAGCTGGATCCGACTAAAGCGAGGAGCCTGGAACTCCATCCAGGTCTCCCACATGGGTGGCAGGGACCCAGGTGCCGAAGCCATCCCCTGCTGCCTCCCAGGTCCATTAGTGGGAAGCTGGATCAGAAGAAGAGTAGCTGGCACTGCAATCCAGCATGCACGCGTCCCAGGTGGTGGCTTAACCTGCTGCACCCCAACGCCCGCCTCCAGGCGTTTTTCTTGTCATTATTTCTTAAACACTGGTGACTTTGTGTCGAGCATTACGAGTGATGTAGAGCTGACTACACATGTGCGAGAAGATGTGGGGGGGGGGGTGTCTGTGCCTGCACTGAGCAGATTTACACAGGTACTTGAGCATCTGTGGATTTCGGTATCTGTGGGAGGTTCCAGAAGCAAGCTGCCACGACACCAAAACACACGGTATCCTGGTGCTTGACTCAGGGGTGAGCCTGTTCCCCACCTGATGCACCTGCTCCCTAGACGCTGGTCCAGTGAGTCTCCTCTCCCACCCAGGTGCCACACACAGGCAGCTGTCGCCCAGAGCAAGAAATGTAAAAGTAAAAGCGTGAACCAGCATCGTGCTCTAACCGTTAAGCTCCCACCTGCCACACCAGCATCCCACATCAGAGCACAGGTTCAAGTTCCGGCTGCTCTGCTTCCCGTCCAGCAGACGTTGGCCCAAGCACTTGGGCCCCTGCCACCCACATGGGAGACCTGGATGGAGTTCTTGGCTCCTGGCTTTGGCCTGGCCCAGCCTTGGCCATTGCAGCCATCTGGGGAGTGAACCAGTGGATGAAAAACTTCTTTCTCTCTCCCTCTCTATAACTCTGCCTTTCAAATAAGTAAATCTTTTTAAAAATTGAAAATTAAAAAAAAAAGTATAAAGCAGCATCTATCTTTCAGCATGGCAGGGAAGTTGGCAGTTGTTGTCTTTGGCAATGTGTGGATCTGGAATGTTCTCTGGCTGATACAGGCCTGACCCTTTGTGGGGGGTCAGGAGTGACTCGAATACAGGAGCAGATGTGCTTCATCCCTCCCCACCCTTTGCCACGCTGGGTGCTCCTTCCTGGGCTTCAAGACCACACTGGAGGGCCGGTGCTGTGGCATAGTGGGCTAAACCTCCATCTGCAGGGCTGGCAACCACATGGGCGCTGGTTCGAGTCCCAGCCGCTCCTCTTCTGATCCAGCTCTCTGCTATGGCCTGGGAAAGCAGTAGAAGATGGGCCAAGTCCTTGGGTCCCTGCACCCACATGGGAGACCTGGAGGAGGCTCCTGGCTCCTGGCTTTGGATAGGCTCAGCTCTGGCAGGTGCAGCCATTTGGGGAGTGAACCAGTGGATGGAAGATTTTCTCTCTCTCTCTCTCTCTCTCTCTCTGTAACTCTGCTCTCAAATAAATAAATAAAGTCTTTCAGAAAAAAAAAAAAAAAAGACCACACTGGACTTCCTCCCATAGACGGTGCATCCCTTAGAGCTGGGGGCTGCTCAATCCTACGCCAGGGCCTGGCACAGTGCTGAGGCACCTGTTACTATTGCTGCTATCAACCTTGTTATGACTCTTCCCCAGCATGGTGCACAACTGTGCAAAATAACATGAGTAATAACATAATATAAGGAAGACTTCCTGGGGCCCGCGTTGTGGTGCAGTGGGTTATGACGCTGCTTACAACACCAGCATCCTGTATGAACACTGGTTTGCATCCCAGTTGCTCCCTTCTGTCTCATTCAGCTCCCTGCTGATGTGCCTGGGAAAGTGCAGAAGATGGCCCAAGTGCATGGGCTCCTGCCACCCATGAGGGAGACCAGGAAGAAGCTCATTACCCAGTCCAGGCCGTTGCAGCCATTTGGGAGTGAACTAAGGACGGAAGCACGCACTCTCTCTCTTTGCTTTTGGAAAATAAATAAATTAATTTTAAAAAATCCTTTAAAAAGGAGGACTTTCTGTCTGTATTACCTTCTCTAATCCTCGAAATATAATGCGGGTGCTAATATTCCCATTGTACAAATAAGAAAAACTGACACCCGGGGAGATTCAGTGACACCCGGGGAGATTCAGTAATTTGTCCCCTAGAATAGCCAGGATCCAAGCAAACTCTGCTATTCCGAGGTATGAGCTCCCAGGGCACAGCAAGTACAAGCTGTCCTCTAAATTGTCTCCTCCAGATCTTACTGCCTAGCGGTCAATGGCACCAATCAATAAGTGTATCAATTATCAGGTTATTCTGTTAAAAAAAAAAAAAAGTGGCCTGTTGGGTTTAATTGTGCACAAACAGGTCCCTGGTGGGAAACACGGTTGCTCTGCTTGCCTCCTGAGTGCTTTTCCAAGTCCTACCCTAGGCCAAGCTGGTGGATTCCAAGGATCAAGGCCCAGACCAGTCCGGAATCCTCACAGCTTGTGTGGCCTGCGGCAGGTGGCTCTCCCAGCCTCTCCTGCGCCACCAGTTACAGGGAAGAGGCAATCGTGACACCCACTCTGCCCACCACATACGGCTTTAGTGACACTGGAATGACTCAGAGGTGGGGAGAGCTTGGTAAGTCGGGGAGGGGTTTCGCAGGCCAGGTGAAACCCTTCCCCCACTTCTCCTGCCACCTCCTGCGTGTTTCCCTTTATAGCATCAGCTTTTCAATTCAGTGGGCTCTCAGAGGCTGACGCCCAGGCCAGTCTTCCTCGCTCCCCACTGTCCGCAGTCAGGATTTGTGGATGATCACTTAGTGGGAGGATCCCGCGGCTCAGATC